CAATACCAGCTAAAGGCGCTTTTTACATTTTGCATAGTTACATATGGAAATTTAATGCAACTTACTACTACTGTACTTGAAACTCATTTGTAGTTAATGCTGACCATACAACTTTTAATTTCTAATATGTTTAGTAGATATCCACTTGCACAGTGTTTCAGAATTACCATTAACCACACACAATTCACACTACGGTAGTGATAAATATTTTTCCATTAATTGCTGGTGGTTCTACTTCATAAATTTAGCTTACAGGCTCATGACAAGTGTGAACACTACCCAAGGACAATTAAAATTATTATTTTAATTTTAAAAGCCCACCATGAAACACACAACATTTCTTCAACACACTTACCTTAAAATCATAAAAAAGATTGTAAGCATGAATTATCTTTGAGTACCCATAAGAAAAATGTAATGTACAAGTCAGGATATGAGAGGTAATGTAAAAGGTTCATCCCTGACCCCCAGGGACGTGAGCCAACAACATTGGGCTGACTTTTGCCACAAAAGCCTGACCAAGTTACTTTACCTTATTTTATTTAAAAGTTGTCCCCTATTCGTTCCCCTATTAGTTTCATCAAAGATTAATCTTTGGTTTCATGCAATTTATTTTCAATTAACCTTAACATAACTTGTTAACTTCACACTTTTTCCCTTTGTTTTATAAGTAATCTATGAGAAAATGTAAAATATTGTTTAAAATTATTTTAGTAGAATTTTTAAGTTTGTAAAATAATATTTTTGTACTAAATTTTTTTTTTATTGACTCATGAATTATCAAATTTATCTGCAAAGCAATATTGTTTAAGACCAAACCTTATTGTTTCTGAAGATTAAAAATAGTGCGTGGTGCCATTGACTTTGTGTTATTTATGAAGTAAATTTTTTTAAACAAATTTTTCTAAAAAATAGTCAGTTATTAAGGTTTCAGGCAGAATATTTAAACATCAGTTACATGTATAAATGAGATGCTAAATCATTTAACTCTATAAAATAAATATTCTTTTCTTCTGCAGATAGTTAGTTAAAAATAACATGACAGCATTGCCAAAGAGGAAGAGTAAAAATAGTCAAATGTTTTGTCGTGTTGATTTATTCATGGTTAATTAGATATTCATTAATTGGCAGATGACTCGTTGTAATTTCCCAGAACCCCTGGTGTACACACATAATTAAAATCATAATTTTACATTTTTACCATATTTTCCATATCCATTTTTGCCATATTTGATAATTATTACTACATTAATGTTTAAAATTATGCAACATCCCAAAAATAATAGAATATTAGTTCTGGAATGTAGCTCTAAGGAATTACACTTGAGTTTTGTAATTTGGTATATAAAATTAAGATTAAGGGATTGGGGGAGGAACAAATATGAAACAAAAAAAACATCAACATTTAGCAACTTTATGGAATGCAAATTTTAGAGTATCTAACTAAGGTATATTTAAATTTTAATTTAATTAGTATTTTTGTATTTCTTAAAACATTAATGGACTGAATGCAGTTCTTTTGATAGTGTTATTAAAGGAACATCATCACAGTCCAGTCTCTACGCTATGTTCAAAGTCTACGGTTGCATGTCTTATCCCAGTAGACTTGACCTCGTCTTGGCTTTAGCGTAATTTGTAGGTTTTAGCGAATTTCCCATTTAGGGAATAAGCTATTAACGTAGTACTCATGGTAAGACCTGGACCCGGGACTGATTTCCTTTTTAGTTTTTTGGTCCGCCAAAAACAACATCCGTTTAAATTCATATATATACTTTTTACCAATACTTTAAAATTAGATGAAATATAGTGGGGATTAGTGTGTGTATATATATAAATGTTTTATCAGTTAGAAAGCTTCCTATTGATTTTACAAGTTGTAATAATGAAAGGTAGGAGTTGTATTCCACATGTGTGAAAGCTTCTCTTGTCGATGTCGAGGACTGAAGTCTGTTTGTAGAAGACTCAAACTGTGTCATTCGTCAATACTCGGAGTGACAAATGTGAATAAACCATGAGTTGACTCTACAATACTTCAATCACTAACTGTTGTATCGATCAGTAAACAAACTAGGCCTATTATAGGAATCACATTGCCAATTAGGAAATTATAACCTAGTTAAAAAAAAGAATTATTGCTTTAACTTCATTTATTGTTCTTTTGATTTTGTAAATTAAATTGTGTGTTTGTCATTTTTGTTTCTTTACTTGGCGTTTACTAACTGGTCGCTGAAGTTCTAAAGATAATTGATTTTACTAGGAGGCCAAAAAGTCCTTAAGGTCAATGTTTTAAAATTTAGATTGATCAATAAATCAAAGAAAGTTTTTTTAGATTAACAAAAAAAGTTAGTTAAGTACTGCAATTTCATCCAAAAACTAATAAAAGAAATATAGATCATGTAAATTACCTACATTTAAAAAAAAAAACTAAATTTTACTTATACATCCTAAAATTGTATAGCTTAATCCTCTGGTCTCCAAAACTCTAAGAATTTGCGCTATAAAAACAACTCGTAAGTTTAAATATTAATATTGCGGAATATTCTTTAATAGAGGACAGATTTTTTTTATTTAGGGTAAAGAAAGTGGTGTATAGGCCTACCCAGTATGAAATACTTTTAGCGAATTTCCCTATAGGGAAGTAGCTATTACCGTAGGTCTCATGGTAAGACCTAAGCCCGGGACCGATTTACTTTTTCATTTTGATGTCCCCAGAGGCCAAAAACACCATTCGTTCAAATTTTTATATATCTATATATATATATATATATATATGTGTCCATCCGCACGATAACTTGAGTAATTTTTGTCCGATTTTGATAAAATTTGGTTTGAAGGTGTAAGGCGGGATAAACTTGAATGAGTTCGCTAACCAGCATGATCGGACTATGGGAACGGGGGTTTATGGGGGGTTTTATGGGGTAAAAATAGGTTTTTCCCATTTTTGCCTCTAAAAACACAAAATTTCACCATTTCTTTTTAAACCATTTTGTAGAGCTTAAAAAAACAAATAATTTAGTATATTGAAGCGTTATTATGCGCCTAATTGTTACGTAGAAAATTCAAAAAAATTGTAATTTTAAAATTCCCATGTTATTCTTATGGAGAATAATTCGACTGTTGCAGTTTGCTTGTTTATGAACATATTTTGATCGATTTTGGAAAATACTTTTATTTCTTACTAAACTATTATCATTTTATTAAAAAAATCTTTTTTACCCTCCCTGTTGCAGCAAACCTAAGGTACTTGTTAAACTAATTCTATTTAAATAGGAAATAAATGTGCTATTTTTATGGAGGCATTTTAGTGTAAATCCAATCAGGTCAATGGAAATTCGCTTAGTCTGCAGGTTTGCTGCAGCGGGGGTATTTTAACATTCATTTTGTTGGTTTGATTATATCACGACGTCATCTACATCAACAGAATCATAACTCTATGGTAACATGTTAAATATTACCATACAAGGAGCAGAGCATCACATCAGCTTAAGTAGGAAATATGGGTGCAGAGTATGTTCTACTTAAAGGATTATTACAGCTCTTCCAGAATCCTTCAACTTGAATGTTATTTTAAAGTAAAAATTTTAAATATTAAATCAAGAATTTTTCATCAGTCCTTCTCTGGAATATTTTGTTACATTATACTGTTCCTAGGTTTAAAAAATAGTTTCTTCTTCCATTAATATAGGCTGTGTGTACATTTAATTTCTCTGAACTTATTTTAATGGAGATCGCGATTTGTAGCCTTGTTGCTATTATTGATTAATGATTAGGTAATTCTTTGGTTGTTTTTGACAATTGGTCAGTAACTGACACCGGTAGAATTTCATAACATGTTTTATTATATTTCAAATTTGACATTTGTTATCTGTAGGCTATCTAGGAGGTGTTGTAGAACAATTCTCGAAAACATTAGAAAGTGTAGTAACTCGTTTGTAATATTCTAATTTAAATTAAAATTTTTATTCAAACACTACATTTGTTGTGTTATGTTTCACGAGACAACGCACAAACATTTCCATTAGCTCACCACTTGTCCCTGCAGAGTTTGACCTTTTAGGGTTATCAATATTGCATTAGCCTTAAATTATTGAGGAGCCATATAACTTAAACAGAACTGCCAGTTTGGGAACAAGCTGTAGCTGTAAACTTTAGATGAAGAGTCATCAAACTACAACTTAAATTGTGAGGATATAGATGTTTGGTTACACCGATTAGGGTATAGAAAAAAATCCTTCAAGTACTCTCAGAGATACTGCTAATATATGACGTAAAACTGTAAAACGCCCAATTGTCCGAAAGATCAAGTAAAAAAGAGTTTACTTGAAATTGGTACTAGATACCAGAACAGGTACAGTAGTATTAAATGGTAAACCTACATGAGATTTGAAAGTTAAAAATCCAATTTTCTTGAATAAAACTAATCTGTTCATCTTTATTAAAAACAAAACTGGTATAAAAAGATTTAAATATAAGTTGATAACCCTAGTATCGAAATCAGATACATACATCAATCAATTAGGTATATCAATTATTTAAGATGGGGACACCACTATGTGCGTATTTTAACCCAAATATGAGTATAGGACGAGTGTAGGATGAGTGAAGCCATCTTGAAGGCCAACATGTTCCTTGTTTCTGTTTTATGTTTTTTTTTTATTTCTAAAATATATTTTAGCTTATAGTTTTTTTTGACTACACAATCGTTGATATACTTCAATGTTCTCTTGGAGAGGGGTTCAAAATTATTTGAATGGATTAATTTTTCGCAATCATTTCAAGTTACAAGTAATAAGATTATATCAAAAAACCAGTCTCAGTCCTGACTAATGAAACAGCTTAGTAACAAATCTACATAGATCATCTCGCTCCATTTTTACACTCGTCCTCCACTCATATATGGGTTACAATACGCACCTAAGTGGCATCCCCACCTCAATAATTAACTACTGTATTGCTATTTACCAAGTGTTATTTACCAAGCAGTGTTTGTTCTGTTCCAGGGAGGAGATGTCCTACAAGAGACAATATCTGCCAATGTCAGTGATGACACGGTCTTGCTGGAGTTCCAGAGATCTGACGGAACCTTGGTCACACAACTGGTGGACTTTAGACATGTAAGTTACTGTCAAATGTATTGTTAAGTCCTATTTAGTAGCAGTAATAATTCTTCATTTATCAGATCCCTTATTTTGTTAGTTGCAACAAGCTACAGGAAACAGAATGTTTGAAGAAAAAAAAACTTTGGCAGACTGGGAACTCTCTGACATGGTCTGATGTTCTGAAGGTAGTTAGAACAACTCAACAGTTGCATGACTGATTAACAATTTGTACCTCGCACGTGATAAGGGACCTGCCTGCCTCACACTGATATTGATCAAAATGTGAAACCCTTCATTGTACTAACTGTCCGTTTATCTTGTTCCACAAACTGCAGATCAATCTAATGCAGTTTTCATTTCTGATGAAGAAGCTATTTAGTTTCATTTAAACAAAGCTTTTTAAATGTTATTTTGGTAGTATTTTAATTTGGCAAAATGTATACACCATAAGACTAACTCATTTTTATATCGGATTTTGTAAATTATGTAGTTATGTAATTATCGTGTGATTTACAATGAATCGGTACTATGTTTCAGGAGGTGCAGATATTAAAGGCCTTAGTTCTGGGAGAGGAGGAAAGAGGCCAAAGCCAGTATCAGGTCATGTGCTTCGTCAACCACATTGACAAAATGGAGTTTATATCACCTGACGCCATGGCCAAACTAAGACAGGTATAGTGTGAAATGTAGTAAATAAAAATTTTATTTATAATTCAAGCCTATGTATATGTATATTGAACCAATGACAAAAATATTTATGGAGTATATACACCTATAGAATTTTTAACAATGGTGTATTACTATAGAAAAGTTAGCAAGGTTATTTTGGAACTGTCTGGTATGCAAAATCAGTAGTCTGCTAAAAATAATAATGAATTGTACAAGCGGATGATAAAAATAGAGTCTTGCGATGTTGATGTTGAAGTTGTCGAATTGATGGATTATGTAACTGTAAAAATTCTGCAATGCTGGGATTTATTTTTCAGATATAATTATAATATGCAATAAATAGGGCTTAATTTTACATATCACCTGATACATTGATCATAAAAGAAATACATATCAAGCTGGTATGTAGTCCTATCAAGTGTTAAACCTAAACATTTATTCATAAAAGTATATTAATCTTTTAGTAAGCGTTTTGTCAACGTCTCGAATAGTTTGAATATAAAATTTCCTTCAATAAAGCATTGTCATAGTGATGTTCTTTCTCCAGTTGTTATTTTGTCATATGTCTCTCCGCAGAAAAACCCTGGCACAGTGCGGACGCCAGAGGAGGACCGGGGCCGGGAGAACATGACTATGGAGCTGTTTGTAGACGTGGCACGTGCCGGAGTCATCTCTAGACACGTGCCGGTGTTGTGTGCCGAGGCCAGCGATGCTACATACACCCGACGTGCCGACATAGACATGTGGAGTCAGCTACCAGGTGAGACCAACAATTCAATTGGTCAACGTATAAAAGTAAAAACCGGTTAAAATTGAATTTGTTTAACAAGTTATTACTTTGACCGCACTTGAAAAAGATTTCAACAGTTTTGTAAGTGCTTTCAAGCCACATCCTCGTGGTATTTGCTAGCCATTGAAGTATAATAGCTTCTTTTTCAGTGATATACACTGAAAAAATTTTAAAGTAACATTTAATCATAAAGCTAACGAACAATAACATTTACTTTTTAGACCAGACTTTTAGACAGCATAAATATGTGTATTTTTTGTTGGTAGGGTTCTTATTTAAACTTTTTTCTGTCACACATACTTTTAGCAAATGTCTTATATAGGGGATAAGCTATTAAGCTAGATCTCTTAGTAAGACCTACCCCGGGGCTGATTTACTTGTTTTGTTTTGAGGTACCCATAGCCTAAAAACACTATCAGTTATAAATTAAACAAGTTATTACTAGTCATTCTATATACATATAATTACATCTGTTAGCTCGATAACTCGAGTAAAGATAATTCAATTTTTATTAAATTTGGTTCAAACGTTTTATGGAATATGGGGTAGGTTAGTTTCAAATGGGTTTTGTCACTTTAAGTCAGTATATGAACATATTAATCTCTAAATTGTAAACAAGTATAGGCCTAGTTTTAATTTTTGAAACATATTATTATAAATTTTACCGGAACAATTCCATTTACGTTTACATTAGCTTATGCCCTCTTTTTAGATATTTGGAATAATTTAGTTTTTTTAAGTGTTATATTTTTTAAACAAAATTTGTTTACAACTTTATTCAAATGTTCACCAGGTTCCTCTAAAGCGTCGTTGTTGGCAGCAGTGAGAGAATACAACGGTTTGGTGCCTCCACCGCAGAGATGTCTAGAGACCCATGCGCCGTGGCAAGCCTGTACTTGTCACCTGGAGCTGTGCATTGGCTGGTACCCCTGCGGCCTCAAGTACTGCAGGGGGGCCAACCCGCGTACAGCCAACTACAGGTGTGGCATCCGCACGTGTCGCAAGTGTAGTCTCTACCTCTACTACGTCCGTCAGAAGCAACTCTGTCTGTGGGATGAATGACCCTCGTAGTAAATGAACACTTCACCGGTGACTGGTAGTAAATGAACACTTCACCGGTGACTGGTAGTAAATGAACACTTCACCGGTGACTGGTAGTAAATGAACACTTCACTGGTGACTGGACGGTTTTGTACTAGTTTCTGTAGACTTTACCTGTAACTGTGAGGTGAGAAAGAATTTATATTTTTTAGTTTGTAATTTTCTACTGATAATCTCTTCCAGGGCCCTGTGAGAGATGTAGTGATTAAGATTTCAACAAGACTTTGAACAAGTTATATTAGCAAACATTGAATACACATCTAAAATTGTTGAAAATCTATGATTTCAATTGTTTGTGCTTTGTTTTGTAAATAGTCTTAATAAAGCACGAAATAGTTTAAATCATAGATTATACAGTTTTTGATTTGTATTCAATGTTAAATGCTATTAGAAAGCATTAAACGCTGTAATTTTTAAAACTTAAGATTTATGGACTGTTCCAATACGAATTTATGAACAATATTATTTTTGAACAAAATGTTATTCAACGATTACCGAAATGGTCTTTCAAGGTAAATTTTATTTTTGGTCCTAATACACTATTGATATTACTTGCAAGTTTGAGTGTTTGTTTTCTTATAAGAAAATGTATAGTTAACAGTTTCTTGCCATATTGTTCAAATATAATTGAAAGTATGTTTTAATTTTTATCATTGTTAGTTGTACATTATTAGTTGTAAACTTTGAAATACATCTTGTTATATTTACTTTTAACTTGTAGCCCGTGGAGCGAAAGTAATACCTTGAAGGTAATCTGGTAAAAGGGCTAGCTTTGTGGATCAACAGTCGAGTCAGAGATATTCTCCGGTCTGTTACATAAAACATGTTTCATCCGATCGCATTGATCCTCACAGGTCAGCAGATATTTGATCTCATATTTTCCCAAAGACTCCTGACCTTACTAACCCTCCATGAAAAACATTAACATCCCTTTGTATATCATCAATTCATCCCTTAGATTTCCAGCAGTGATTTTATTTACTGGAGTTTTCAGCTTTGCATTTGCTACCCAAAGTGAATGTTGTGAGTAACATGTAAAGGAATTGCAACTTTGATATCTCGGTGTAAGCTTTGTGTGGTTTCTTTTTATTGAGGCAACCATGTTACGTTTAGTTGTAAATTCAAAAAGCAATTGCTGGGTATGTTTCGGTGAAACTTTTCAATGTGGACAAATTTATTCTACAATACGTTCGTGTTTGTTTATTTTAATTTCAGATTGAATTTAGGTACATACAAATAATTGCCTATTGCCATTGTAATCTTAGGATTTACTTTATGAGTTTTTGATATTAAGTATATTATTACTGAATCACATATTGTTTATATATTTTTATGGTAGATTTTATTTTAAAATATCTTTTTGTTATTTTAGTTTCAGACAAAAAAGTAAGTTTAAAAACATTTATTTAATCTTCAATTAGTCAAAGACGAAGTAACTCTAAAAGTAATTGATGTTTAGAAATGACTGGTGTTTGTTGCCTAGCTATTTTGACATCTAACGCAAACAAATTATTGTTACGAAAAAAAAAATGCTGGCATAAATATTTAGTTTTAATTCTTTATCGTAGTATGTGAAGTAAATAATATATTTATCCTTATTGAATACTGTACATTAGAATCTCAATAACAAGTCTTTAAGTGGGATTATCAAATAAGACCTGTTCGTTGTCAATTTTTTTGAGGTTTGCAATATCATGTAATGAAATATAATACTGTATAAAATCGCTGGTATTTGAAAATGACACTTGTTATTGAGAGTCTTTTTGTTGAGGTACCACTGTATTAAAATTGCCCTATCCACACAGAGTTTTATATAAATATTTCATATGTGTATTCCGAACTCGATGGGGCCTTAGCTTTATCTAATATAAGTATTTTCTCGTATTGTTGCTATTCCTCTTTGTAATGCAGTTATAATAATAATTTAATAAGGCTTAGCCTTTTTAAAGTCCTATGTATCGTTTTCAATTTAATTAAACATTATTAATTTAGTTTTTTTAGACTAAGCTTATTTGAGTTTTGTAATAAAAATGTATAAAGTTTAGAGTAAGTTATTGAAACCTATGAATTCTGATATTAACTATGATTTTAACTATCTAGATTTTTATAATAACCTAATACTCTAATTATTATTTTAATGATAAATGATGCTATTTTCGTAATCGTGCGTGCTAATGTCGAAATTTGGTGCTTCTTGTCCCACCTAACAACCTTATCAGTCTTTTTATTTTGATATTATACTATTCATGACATTTCCTGTAACGTTTGAGAACTATAATAGACAAATATTCCTTGCAATAATCTATTATAAATGTGTGTTACAATAAGATACTGCATTAGTTACTTTATTTGTTTAGGAGAATTTTATTCAAAAATCTATTTCCGCCTTAATGTAAAGCATATAAATTATTTGATTTATTTTTTTACTGGAAGAATTATATTTATATACATATTCCTATTATGTAAAAAGCAATAATTGTACTTGTTATTTTGATTTGTAAGGATTTCATTTAAGGAATTATGTTATTTAATGTAATTAGTTCTGAATGTCTTAGTGAAACAAACTATTATAAGGTTTAAACATTCATCTTTTGTGTTGACTTTTGAAAAACTTTGAATTTTAGTTAAATACAATTGTATAATTACATTGTACATCTTTTAAGACTATCAATATTTTTTGGCTCTAATACTGATGTATGTTTGCCATTTCATGTGCCATGCCAGATAATCTTTAAACTCTGGCCAATAGACCTTTCTGTAATTTTTTCCATCTATTAAGGCTGTTTATTTTTTCTCTGAAGCCATTTCCTCTGTGCCATAGTTGCAGCGTGTCCGCTTGGTTCTTGTATACGCCTTAACCCAACTATGTTAGCTGCCTGTATTTATAGCCTTTTTTGTTAACTCCTACCAATTCCTACATTGTATGTGTCTGTAATGCGACTTTTGCGCTCTAGTTTTGTATGAAACTAATAAACTGAAATTTTATGATAAATGTGTCTTGTATTTGATTTTAACTTCCGTATAGGCTAACCTAAATTTTACAAAGCCATAGCCCTGCCATCTTCTTAAAAAGTAAAAAAATTATTTAAAAAAAAATCTTTTTAAGTAGTATTTTAAATAGGTTTAAAATACAAAAAATATTTTAAAATCAAATTTTTTTAACCAACCAAACGTAATTAATATTAAAACCCCTATATTAAACCAAACTAGGTTTTCTAGGTTAAAAATAAACTGTATTTTTCTCCCATCAAAGTACAGCCTTGTTTGAATGTAGTTTTTTGTAAAAAAAAACATAATTTAATCTGAATTAGTGTATTCAAATGTCAAAATAAGCAAAAAAATCTCAAGCCAGAGGTGAAATCCTAACTATTGGGAAAAGCATGGTATAGTTTAATTCCAAAGTAATAAATGACTTCCATGTTTTAATATTCTGTCTTTGGTATCTATTTAGAGCAAATAAGTATTATTGCTTTAATGTTAAATTCATCTAACATCTTTCTGGTTCTCACATCAATATCAATTATCAGTATTCTGAAAAGCTGTTCTGCCATGTCTCTTAGTGTATTGGAGACTGTTTTTGACTTTTCTACTTTAATTTAAGCTGTAAAGTATTTTGATGAAACCCATTATATTTTGAAAGGTAACTCAAACTTGAGATCACAAACAGAAATTGTTTGCTAATAATCATTCTCAGATATTTCCAAACAGTCTCTATGGCATTAATTTACAGCTGACCTGACAATATAATGAATTTACCATGACACCTTTTATTTTACAAGTACTAGTCATCAAAGAGTTTTAATAATGGCTATCTAGTTTTAAAAATGATGGCTGGTATGATCCTATAGTGTTTATATGATCACCCAATCAGTTAAAAAATACCTCCTGCAACCAGAGACTTCTATTCAATACAAAATCCTTAAAAATTGAGTCATCAAGGGATATAAGATTCTTATAATCCAATAATTTATCCTTAAAATCGTGGATGAAATAAGTTTATCGAGGTGAAACACTACTCAAGAATATTTGTAATCTGTTCTGACACAATCTAGATATACGTTTCAAAGCAAAGTCGGATAAAAACTTGGATCACAGAACATGTCAGCAACATTCGCCGATGAAGTGGAACACTGATATAACTTCAGCTGCTGAACCAACTTGTGGTCTCCTTACCCTTACTTTGATTGGCATTGTCGACAAAAGTTTGTAAAATTCTTTGAGAAAATCCCTCTAATCATAACAATTTGTTTAGGTATACAATAATACCGTGTTTGAAAATAATCAATGACCATATTAATCTTTGGGTTCATCTATGAAGTAAAAAAGATAATTCTCTTAGCTGAAAACTAATGAACTAAATTATACACTAAAAATCCGAACAATTGATAAATTCACCTCCCCCCACACAAATTATAAATTCTTGTTTGAAAATATGCATTTTAGGCACCACAAGAAACTTAATAATTATATTTGCAATGGTGTCCAAAGCAATCAACTACCCGTACAATAACCCAGTAGGGTCTACGGTGTAGATAGCAGCATCAAATATTTAGGTACAATCAGCCCAACTGAGCTTGTTATTAGTTGGCAGCTTCTCATACCGAGTTGGACTAATTGGCTTAGGCTAAGAGAGAACAACACCTTGTTTCTAGTTTCACACTGAACCCGATTAAAAGTTTGTCAAGAAAAACCCAGGATATTCATGGAAGAAACGCTGAAATGATAAAAAATATGTAACATTAGATTGCTCCGTTAATAAGCGTAAATACAAATGAATGTGTACAAAAACGTGGATTCTTTTTAAGGGCAAAATTTTCAACAGTTGAAACCCATAAAAACAAGACAAGTTCGAAGAGAATGAATTTAAATATGCTATAATGACAGTGATTCTAAAAATACACAGTTTAAGTTATCTCAAAACATTAAAGTGAATTGAGTGAAGTTAATGGGCTTAGATATTGATGATAGTGTTTTAATTTTAACAGAACGACATTAGCATTTTATCACAATTAAGCAGTAAAATCTACATAAAACGCCACGTGCTGAGTTTACGTAATGGTTTCTCTTGTCACTTTAGTTACAAGTTTAATGTAATGTTGCTTCCTGACTTGACGGAATTCGCCTTTATATCTGTAGAGCTTCAGTTACATCTAGCTTGAAGATGAATTGTTACAGTTTCAATTGTGTCCCTAATAAACTTGCAATAGAAACTATATTAGGTACTTAATTTAAATCTCTTTTGTAATTTTGCTCACAATGAAGATATAATATGATTTTAGTTTGGCAAAATACATTTTTAGCGGGGATGCATTTACTGCAGGCCTACGATATGGCCTAGAATTTAGGCGATTTTTTTACTGTTACAGAAAAACAAAAACTATTATTAAATCTTTGTATATGACATCTGTAAAACTATAAATAATTTTATTATTTGTTGTTGTTTATAATTTTTTTGACCCATTGACCGTGAATAATATTTTCCATTTTTTTAAAATCTTGATTTCTTTTTTAACCTGTCGTGAAATCTTAAATCAAACATTTGATTTCTTACGAAGCAAAATAAATCAAATGAATGTGTGTCTGTACATACATACAAATTCATAAGAAAGGCATTTTAACCTGCGCATTGGTAGACTGCAAACATTTCTTCTAGTTCAAATATTGGATAATCAATTATAAAAAATCTTAACTATAGTTATTTGTGTAACTAGTGTGCGTAGTGGCACTTTGCATCGCGTTACACATTCTACCATTCCTACTGTTACTATAAAGTATATAAATAATTAGTCTTTTAATTTTAAACACTATACAACACTTTTTTAGGTTAGGAAATCCAGGCATACGAAATTGGAAACGCTGCACCAGCTGATCGTAGTCGTAATATCTTTAAATGTTCCCAATTTATTTTCAAGCGTACACGTATTACGTAGCTAGTAAAAGGACACTGTTTTGTGTCGTTTGGTTGGAATACTGGAGTCCGGCAAAAAATGAGTGCAGCAGTAAATGTATCAATGCTGCACTTGGCATACTGTAATCAGTGCAAGGAAGTGACTGTAGGAAAAAATATTACCTCTGACACAACATCGTGATCAACTGGAAAACAAACAAAAATTACAATGGAAATACGAGAACCATATTAGCGCATCGTTGAAGATATCAATCATTTTTAATCGCCATTTTCATGTCGTGTGCATGAAGGAGATAGAATATTACAGTGGCATTGTTAAGTAATGAACAACAATGTTAAGTAATGGTGGTTTAGTCTGTAATTAAAAGAGCAAAGTATTATATTCCACCAGATGTAAGGGCCGAATGTTAAACCTTGCTGAAAATGACAAGCTGCGAACTTCCTGAATAAAGTTTGACACTAAGACTAAATTAAAAACTTTTTATCCTCTCCTTACATTTATACCTGAATTTTGGAATGCCTTTATCAAGGTCGGGTGAAAACTATTTAAATTATTTTACCTCCTATACAAAAGTTTAATGGAATTGGTACTGTATAGTTTTCGTGCATATTTCAAATTATTTTAAAATATTTTGGAAATTAATAGGGTTTATTTCATGTGTATAACTTAATTGGCATTTGATAAATTAGCACTTTTTAATTTACCTTCTTTCATAACTCCATACATAGAAACACCAGAATATAGTGCATTTAGAATTATGATACGTTTTCTGAACCTTCAAATAACATTTTAATATTTTTAAATGATACAGTGTCTTTTTGAATTTATATAAAAAAATAGATTTCATTAACTAAAGTAACTGAAATGAGATTGCATTATATTTATTATTTGCCATAAAAAACTGAAATGTTTACAAAAAGGTACCTAAGGTGATATAAAAATCAAATTAAAAATTATTGATTTAATAGCTGTACTGCCAAAACTAAAATTGTCCCTTAAATATTTGCTTGAGTTTAGTTTTATTCCTCTAAGAAACTGTTACTTACAGCATAAAAATCTACTTGATAAAAACACGAGTTAAACAGTTATTAATTTGCTATATTAGTTGAATTTTGCTATGTATATTCTTAAGCCCATGTATATATTATATGCATATATTATTATTCATATATTATTTATATATGCCAGCTCATGACAAGTTACTTGCCAATTGTTGGCAGAGCAGTAAATGAAAAGTTACCATTTGCCAACGTCTGGTGGTGAGACGCTGGCTGTTGGCCAAATAAGAGCTTTTGGCTGACCTGATACTTTTATTGCGGCTTTCAGCTCTTTTTGATGGAAACTTTCAATCGAAAAGAATTTCAGATTTTAAAGAGT